GCCATAAAATAAATGTTACGTGTCAAACAGCATAATAGGCTAGTATCCGTAAAATATTTAAATAAGTTAAATAAGTTATTGTACAATTTTTGATATCACAGGCCATCAAGTGATTAAAAAAAATAGAAAAACATTTAAGGCAACAATAATAAACTCAGCCACAGCTGGGACCGAACCCTTAACCTTTTGCACTGCAGACCATTCACTCTACCCACTACGCTATCAGCTCTCAACACATAGCAGCCTGACTCATGGGACGCCAAAATGGACTCAGACTGCCACCTAGTGGCTATAGTAGTCACTTGTTTTTCACGCAATTTGTAAAACACGGAGAGCGTGAGTGAAGTTTCTATTTCCAACCAGGACCCACTTTACAGTGTGCACTGGGGCGGTTCGCAGCCGAGTGTAAAGCGGCCGAGATGAGAATCAGCTCCTCCAAGTCCGAGGCCATGGTTCTCGACCGGAAAAAGGTGGCTTGTCCCCTTCAGGTTGGAGGAGAGTCCCTGCCTCAAGTGGAGGAGTTCAAGTATCTTGGGGTCCTAATCACGAGTGAGGGAAGAATGGAGCAGGACATTGATAGATGGATCGGTGCGGCTGCTGCAATAATGTGGACGCTGCATCGGTCTGTCGTGGTGAAGAGAGAGCTGAGCGAAAAGGCAAAGCTCTCAATTTACCGTTCACCTATGGTCATGAAATCTGGATCATGACCAAAAGAACGAGATCCCGGATACAAGCGGCTGAAATTAGCTTTCTCCGCAAGGTGGCTGGGCTCTCCCTTAGAGATAGGGTGAGGAGGTCGGTCATTCGGGAGAGGTTCAGTGTAGAGCCGGTTCTCCTCCACATCCAGAGGAGTCTTCTTCGGATGCCCCCTGGACGCCTCCCCCGGAGAGGTGTTCCAGGCACGTCCCACTGGGAGGAGGCCCAGGGCACGACCCAGGACACGCTGGAGAGACTATGTTTCTCGGCTGGCCTGGGAGCGCCTAGGGCTTCCCCAAACAGAGCTGGAGGAGGTGTCTGCGGAGAGGGAAGTCTGGGAGTCTCTGCTTAGTATGCTGCCCCCGCGACCCGGTTCCGGATAAAGCGGGAGACGACGAGTACGAGCAATAGTACCCAATAGTCTCAATGATTCTTTATTGTATGTTCTCAGCACACAGTGTGAGGGAAATAACTTTTGCTTCCTATATTTGTGTCTGTACAGGGAACTGACACAGGCACTCCAGTGACTACTTCCATTTTTAAACGCTTGTTATTAGCCCTTATGTATACATAATATGGTTTTAAAATGTCAATTTCACATTGTTCTCATTTTCAGCTTTCACTGAAAACAGTGCTATATCCTTTAAATTACCTGCCTGGTACTGTGTGACAAACCAAGATTTTAGCTTGGTCTTCTCTTCCTTGACTCCTGTAGGCTGAGGTTCAGAAGCTAGAGTGGGTATTGATTTCAGCTGGCTGATCTTCATCGTCTGTACCTTCCTTTTTGGATCTTGCCCTTTTCATCCTGCGTATTTTCTTCACTAAGGTTAGCCCTAAAATCAAAGTGATTTCAAAAATAAATAAAAAAAAACAATCCACTGGACTTTGTTTCCAAGTTTGAAGAAGTTTCACTTCCCATCAATGAAGCTTTTTTCAATTTGAAATGTCAGAAATAGCGTTGAGTTCCAGGATTTATAGAGTCAACCAAAAACAGAGCCTTGTTCTGGCTTAGAAAATATGCAAATTGAGCCGGACGAACAGGTCCACCCCTTTGGAATGGGAGACTGTTGGTTTATTTGTTAGCCTGTAATACCCAATAACTGTCCCCCAATGTCTTATATTGGGGGGTTGTTAAAGGGAATTGTTGGCCTGGCTGAACAGGCGAGGTGTTCTGTTCCCCTGTAAGGGGGTGGGGGTTGCGATGATAGCGAGAAAGAGTCAACTCAATTGCTGAATTGTATGTTTTTGAGTCCACCCTCTCTGTTTAAGGTTGGGTTTTCTTTATTGACCTAGACGGCTTCCTTCACACCCCTCTCAAACCACCTATCTTCTTTGTCCAAGATGTGAACCAGAATGTTCACATTTTGGCGGGAGTGGACAATGTATTTCGTTCTCTCCGTCTTGTTTGGACCTGCTGACTTTTGCAATGTGTTCTTTCTTCTTACTCAATCAACAATCTGTCCATAGCCTGCACATCTATTAGCAT